CACCCAACAGTTCCCCCGCAACGCTTCATGTTGTGTGCATGACCAGCTGTGCCAGGCACGGGGATATTGCCCAAAGATGTAATATCAATACTTCAGCTGATCATTAAACATCACTCTTTGTAATGGAAATAGGGATCTTTACTCCCCACTTCAGCAGCAGCCACAGTCCACAGCACAAAATCATTAAAACTGCTCTTCCAGAAGCTGAAGCAACAGTATGTGATGATTATGTGATCATTTTCTGGTCCCTCCTACAATCTTCACTAATACACAGACTTGAATTAATACCCATATTGACTGACTCCAAAGGTCCCACAGCAAAGTCCAGGATTAAGACTCAAGCAATGACTTGCAGTGTTACTGATCTCTGTGCCACAATGAGTTAAATTCTCAAGAGTTCAAAAATTTTCAGTATGGGCCTCACTGAATCACGGCATCTTTCTAGGAAAATATGTTTTTCATATATTTTTTTTCAAAACCCATGTTTGTGTTTAAAACTCATCTGGATTCCTTCATCAATTCACAGAAGAAAAATTATGAATGCTTCACAAAAGTAAAAAATAAGGTGTTGCAAAAACTAGTTTTAATAGACAAAAGAACATTTGTTTTTCCCTCACTGCTCACATGGAAACTCTGCCAAGCTCATCCTGTGACACATGCATTTCCTACTGCTGGCTTCCCTCTCTTCCTTTTCATTTTTCTACTTTTCCCCTTACATTTCTGTCTTGTTCAAGGGCTACAAAATGAGACTGGAACATGAATCATGTGTTTCCAAGAAACATAGAGAACTCTTTCTCTGGGTCAAATTTTCCAGTTATTGTTCAATAAAGACTCCTGAGCCCTCCCAAGAGCCTCATGAGAAAGAATTTCTTTCTGACATGCAGCTGCTCATTAATTCCTGGGAAAACCCTGAAAACAAACTGAGTTTTCAGTAACAGAGTAATCTTTCTATTCTGAAGTTTCACTGCTATTTTTTTAAGAAATCACTCACAGACATTAAAAAAACTCCAGCATTTTGAACGTGCTATTTTGATCAGCTACACAGATGCACACATATACTGCTATATTCTAGCAGCAGATCTCAAATTTGGTGACAATTGGGTGCTCAAATAACTAAAATACTGAAGCAGAAAAAGCATTTCCACCCCTCCTTGTGCTCTAGGGCAGTACCCACTCATCCCTGGATACCTTGGGATTTTACCCTCTGCCACCACCCCAGCTGCAGGAGGAACCTGGTGAGGAAGGCAGAGTCCTCTGCCCCTTGGAGCCCTGGGCAGCACAAGGGACAGGCAGCTGGTGCTACTGCTGCAAAGCAGGTACAGCATCCCCTCTGACATTTCCAGCATGGCACAAGGATGTCTGGCACCCAGATATCAGACCACAAATGCACAGCAAACAAGCCAGGCCTGTTATATTTGCAGCAAGGCTGAGCTCTGCCATCATCTTCATCTCTGAAGCCACAAGACCACAAGAGCTGTGTTCTGTAAGGCAGCCCGGACCCAAACCTTGTACAAACACCAGCTTCCCCTTGCTCTGCCACTGCCACCACTGTCCCCCACGTGCCTATGGGAATGGGTGGGCTATGCAAGAAACTCAAGGCATCACCTGGACACATACATGAATGTATTTGCCCATGTCTTTCCCTCTGCTCATCCAATTCCCAGAGCTGCAGGGCTGCTGCCATGACAGGAGCTGTCCTGGGGCTGCTGCAGGGCCGCCCTCCATGATAATGAGCAGTTGTGGAGCACAGAAGAGAGTGGAGGCTTCCTACACCAGGGAAGGAGAAATGCACAGCAACGGCTGTGGTAACAAAGATGAAACCCTGATTTATGCCCAGAAGCCCCTGTTGCTGGCAAAGAGCAGTACTTGGTACCTCTTCCCTCCAGCAATCCAGAGATTCTATTTCATTCCTAGATTTTAACAGCTTGTCTTTAACCCACAACAGTTTGTGAGTTATATGGGCAAAGCTAAGGGGAGCAGAGGCAATACCTCCATACCATATTGCGCCAGTCTGGAGGCATTCCCTTTGCACACACAGCTCTTTTTGGCTGATAAAATGCAGGAATTTTGGCTAACTAAACCTCCTTTCCTTGCTGCAAGACCTTTTGCCATTACCTCTGCCTTTCCTGATGCATGCAGGGCTTCCAGGCTCAGCTGACAGAGACGCTGCGAGGGACTTAGGAGTACAGACCATGGAGGTCTTAAAGCCCTATTACCACTTGGCACAGAGTGTACTTTTATATTTTATAGGATGAAAATCCTTCAACTGCTTTTCCAGATTATTGTGGACGAAAATAATCTCAGGGTTTGTTGTCATTTAGATGATGAAGTTGTGCATGACTGAAAGGAGGATTGTAACACTGGCAATCTCTCTCTAAGAACAGCGCTGGCTCCTTCACCTCACACAAACCATTTTTGCAGCCCCTCCCTCTCCCTCCCCACCCCATTTCTGCCACGTCAGGGCAAAAGGTGAATTTGGCAGTGCTGGTTAACAGTTGGGCTCAACAATCTTAAAGGTTGTTGCCACCAGAAATGATGCTCTGATACTGTTGTCATGTGTGGATGGAAGGATTTTCATTGCTCACCCTGGCCAGAATAAAGTAATGCCTGATTCTCTGATACTTAAAGATGGTGTTGGAGAGCTTCTTTGACTCCCTTGGTTTTGGTGACACTAAGATTCTGTGATTCTATGTTGTGTCTGCAGTGGGTTCAGTACCTGCACTGAGCATGAACCAACAGCCAAGAGGCTTTGCTAATTGGAGCCCTTGCATTTCATAGGCTCCGACCCTTTATTTCCATTTTCCACAGCTGACAAGGTCTGGATGGTATTTTGCTGAGACCAACAATCAAGTCCCCTACAATTTACTTCAAGGCCCTTCTGACATTCACTGATAGTGTCTGCACAGTGATTTCTTTGGGTGTTATTCTGCTGCAGACATAGCTCAAAGTGCTCTCTCTGACTCCCTGTACTTGCTGCTCAACTTGCATTCCCCAGCCACCACAGCCAGTTGGGAACTTTTTTAATGAGGCTGCTTTATCACTTATGAACATCATTCAGCATTGTGGGTAGATCTGTGAGTGAACAGCTTGCTAGTAGTAAATGGTGATAAGAAAGATGCCCTTGACAAAGGCAGACAGAAATTTCCCCTGCAATAGCCCCTTATTCTGGGCCAGCTCAGGATGCCCCTCTTATAAATGTGGGTCTATATGGCAAATGTGTTCTCATGTCTCCTGACAGCAATTACAGAGTCTTCTTCTCTGCTTCTCTCACTATTTAGTAATGGGGGAGACAGGTTTCTGTGTAGGGATTATTTGCTTCCCAAAATCTTAGAAGGATCACAGAATAGCAATAAAATGAAGGTAAAGAGAAGTCATGTATGGAAGACATCCATAACATAAAAAGTCTGAATTTTGTAGGAAAGTCATTCACTCCACTAAATAGTAAGAACTAAAGGCTGTAAAATTACTCTCAAGACTACTAAAAGGAAAAGAGAGGCAAAATAAAAGCATAATTCAATTTGATGGAAACAAAAAGAATTAATTACTTTTTATCACTATTTGCCAAACACATGCTGCATGTGATGTCACTTGTTTTACGAATATGGTTGTCTCATCTGGCAGTTATTAGTGTTGTTGGTGTGTACAACAGGTCTTCTAAAAATAGCCATGTCCAAATTAGAGCTGCAAAAACCCTGATGCAGTGATTCTCTGTGGTGTCCTTCCTCATCTCTCCTCACATTTGTCAAAAACAGATTCTGTCTCTTCTAAACATTTTTAGCCATCTTTAATAGTACAGACCATCAACACAATTACTGTATTGCAGTATGTATGCATGTTCAGGGAGAAGATCCAAGATGCCTTTATTTTTCAGTTTAATTAAAGGTAAGTGGTAAAATGGAGGTGACAAGATAAGCATCTTGCATGTCCTTATTGTCAATATATCAGTATTCACAGCTTTGCTGCTTGCAATCATCTCCTGCAAATTTCTCATATATTATTTGATGTTACTCCACTGGTTTTCAAAACTGTTTAGCAAGAAATGTTAAATGCAGGCTGGACCCAGACAACTGAAGGTAGCTCTGTGGGTCAGGGGAGAGCAAGTTTCCAATGAGTGCACAGGAGGATGTATTTACAAAAGGTACCAAAGGGTGCTGGAGCAGCAAATCAGACACACTGAAAAGCTAAAGCCAGACATTGATTCTTATGTAAGTGTTACCTAATTGTTATTTCTGTCCAGAAATCAGTCCACCAGAGCTGTCTTGTGTTTCATTACAAATGACCCTTTGTGAATACCCTTGACAGCAACTGTGAGGTTTTTAAGTACTGTTTATTATGACTGCATAAACTTAACTGCAAGGACCAGCATTAGCTTTCTCTCCTGAGAATATGAAAGGTATTGTCAGGGACACTATCATTGCTGTGGGAAATACAACACCTTGCTAATCCTGCATTTGTTTAGTGCTAGAACCTACACTGTGAACTCTGGGCACCCCTTGTAGTAACCAGACAGCAGTACTCTAAAATACAGCCAGTGCAATCAAAAGAACTACAGTGTTTTTCCACACAGAATAAGTCCCAGTCATGCTCATGAATACTGTGTGCACTTTGAAAGCTGAGTCCTCCCTAGAAGAGGACTTCCAAGAGTCCCTTCTTTTTTTTCTTTTATTTCCTTTTATTTTCTTTTTTCCTTTTTTTCCCTTTTTTTCTTTTCTGAAGCACTGGGTGAATCTGAGGAAGTTTTCAGCAAGGCATCCATCTTTCTAGTATCTGATCATTTGATTCTCAGCTTGCATAGAGATGCTAGACTTACAACTTTGGTGTGAGCAATAAGTGATCCTGTACGTGCAGGAGGGAAATTCTGCATTGTTATGCACAATTTTCTGCACAGCAGATTTTTTCTACCAGATGGAAGGCTGAACTTTTGTTCTACTTGCAGCTCCTTCATGCTTACTTTCTCTGAGTACTCAGATGTGAAGTAAAACTGTGACTACACCTCCATGTTTATGATATACTTGCTTTAATGTATAGCCTCCACCTCTACTTTTTGTAACACAAGCAAAGAAATGCCATGTGAGAGACAGAGCAGCCACATGTATTATATCTCACAGGAGACAGTCAGTTCCTTCAAGCAGAGACTGGATCTTTCTGGCTAGGAGGAGCACTAGATCTTCCCAGCACTGCTTCTTCTGGATCTTCTTCTGGATCAGCAACTCTGAGATGCACCTTGGAAGGCTCTAAGACTTGGGTGGGTTTCAGAGTTGGACACTGGAGCTGGAGAGAGAAACCACCTTTTTTTTCTTGAGTGAAGGCCTGAATGACAGATTTTCACAGTGGAGGAAAATCATTGCTTCTTGAGTGATTCACACACACTCTCTGATCCTCGACTCCTCAGCTGCTTGAACCCCAGGGGCTAGGACAGGATGAAACAAAGAACTGAAAATTAGTAAGAGGCGTGAAGAACACTCAGCCCATTCCCTTGACTTCTGTGGGATTGAATCTGAGCTTTCTTTGCTGAAAAGTGCTTCATTTATACAAACTAATCTGTTACCCACATATAAGAAACATTAAATTCTCCAAGTCTGTAATTCTCAACAAATCTTATACAGGGCATTTATGCTGCCATTGAAATACAAAAAGCTTTGTCTGAGAGAAGACAGCAAAGTTAAGAGAATTGCAGCTGGAATTACTTTGACAGTCATTCTTTAGAATTCCAGATGGTTTCATCACATGTAGATATCATGTGCTAAAATGTAACTGTGTGTGGCAGAGAATCAGGGCCCCTACAAGGCAGGTCCACAACCCTAACGGTCAAATGTCAATTCTAAGTTACTTATGTATTTTGGTGAGTTGATTTGCATCTACATGAAGATTATGACTACAGTCAATTTTTCATCAACAATTTTCCATCAATGTCTAATAAGACAATGATTGCACTTTTGCAACTATACGAAAAAAAATTACTTTGCATAGATCTGGGAAGATAATAATTATCATAAAGCTTACTTGACTGTGTTCAGAAAAATAGCAACTGCTCGTGGAGAATTGTCAGTGAGAAGATGTCATGTAAAAGGAAATTATAAAAATTAGACATTTGGAGTTTCTGAGAAGAAAATTTTTGAAAAATACGTTTTTGAGAAATATGAAAAAGCAGAAATAGTACCTGTTGCAGAAGCAATATGCATGTGCAGCACTGTCACACTCAGTGATTGTTATGGCTCCCTGAATAATTGCAGCAAATTAAGTTCTATAATTTTCTTTAATTCATACACAGCTAAAATATTTCTTAATTGAAAAACACAAACTGGTGTTTTGTTGACAAAAGAGCTACACTTTGAATGGAAAAAAGTATCAAACAGTGGACTGAGAACATATTTTTGTATCTAATTATGCAGCAAACTATGGAAATACCAAAATGTTGCTGATGATTTTTAATGTTATGCTTCCCTCTTCAATGTGATTAAGATGGGAAAGAACAGTGTCAGAAATACCTGAAATATGAAAAAGAAAAATTAAATTATTTCAATTTTGATAATGTACCAGCTTGTCATAGTACTAGGAACACTTATCTGCAAATTAACACCAAATGAGAATTACATTTTTCCTGCAGTATTAGTCATGTGATGTAATTTGTAACCTGACAAAGTAAGCCAGAAGAAAGTAATAATTTGATCCTAGATGTTGCAATCACAGTTTCTTCCCTTCCAAAGGAATTTAAAAACATGATACTTCAGCTGATATGCTGATCCCATGTAAGTACTGAGGCATGTCTGTGCTGATGGTTGTTGCTATAACCTTGCAGTTCCAAGAAGCTTTAGTCACTCTTGCTGTCAAACCCAGTTTTAGGTTTTCACAAAACTTCTTTTACTTTCAGGCTGTGAGTTCGAAAATGTGTAGGGGATAAACATGCAGAAGGCTGTGGTGAAGAAAACCTCCTTGGGAGCGCATTACCTTTTGCAGAGTTCAGCACTTCAAAGCTTGGAACTCACAGAAAAGGAATTTGCTGATCTAACTTAAACTAAATACTCCTGTATGTATGCATTATAAAATAGTATTTAATTACAGAAACTTCACATCTGTGCTCCTACAAAAGTCATCCTTATTCCATGTGTGAAATTGATGACTGTTCCTGAGTGGGTAGATATACCTTCTTCTTTTTACACCAAATCATGTTGTTACTTTAAGGGGTTTTTAAAATTTATTGAATGCATTATTTCTAGAGAAACTCCTTACTGCATAGAGACAACTAAGTGAAATAGCTAATGTTATTCACAGCTAAGACTATGTATTTATATGCAAATACCGTATTTAAAGACCTGCAATGATAACTCTTCCTGTTTTTTACCAGTTGGGATACTACTTGAGACAACTGAAATGAGAGCCCTTGCAGAGCAATCCCAATGCAGAAGCCATCAAAGGCCAGGACAAAGTTTGCCTTAACTTTTCTCAACTAGGAACAAATGTGAAGTCATAGTAGGCAGAGAACATCCAAATTAAATCCCATCCCTAATCAGCAGATATTTGTGCTACCAGATTTGCTAGGCAGGGTACCTTCACAATTGGGGATAAGAAAGAAAAGGGGATGGGACAAGTAGGAAGTTAATAATCTCCAATCTTGCCTACCATCTCTCCCTATGAAATGTCAAAGTCCAGTTATAAGCCTTGTACTCATGCAGCCAGGAAGGCAAACATCATCAGCATGGTTCAGAGGGCTTTCAGCACATCCCTCATGATCACTCAAGTAGATAAGGAAAAACAAGATAAACAGAACAAAGCCATCTCGAAAACACCTCACTTTGTCAGCTGAATAACAAAAACGTTTCACAGAGTTGCAGCTTGACCTAAGGTAGATTCATTAATTTCCCTCCTGCTCTGCTCAGTTCCCCACTGCTAGGTTAGTGATCTGTGATAGCTGCTGACCTTTTTCCTAAGGACACCCTTGTCCCTGCCTTAGGAACGCTTCCTGCTAATAATGTTCAAGTGCCTTTCCCATATCACTTCTGACATATAATTTTGCTGTGTTTTTCACACTGAGGGCACTACCATATAATTTCTCTTCCCCTGCTGTTTCCAGCATTGTCACTTACAGCCTTGAGCCTTCTTTTGTGACGCAGCTGGAGGTTGGCAGCTGGGTGCAGAAACCCTACTGCAGAGGTTTCCACGGGTAATGTTGATTCTCCAGGCAGCTGCAGTGCTATGCAGCAAGCTTTAGAGCTCCTTTTTATAGATGCAGTTATCAGTATGCTTTGACTCCCAGGGCCACAGTCATACCAAGAATAATCAAAATACTGGCGGTTCCCAGACTACACGTGGATGTAACTTGTCCTTACAGCCAGTAACCTTCATAGACATGAAGCTGTGAAGCCTTTAGGGAACAGTGGAAATTAACTTTAAAAATACATTTCTGTCCTTGCTATGCAGTCTGTTCTAAAGTTCAGTGAATGCTGATGGAACAATTCAACGTGAACAGGTTTAATCAGGCCCGCAGACTACAATTATGTAAGCATGATGCGATTTGCTAGGACAAAAACATGGAACAAGTTCAGCATTTCATTACATTTCATTGTGGATTGAGAGCCTTAATGTAGGTGAGGATTGACTAAACTTGGTAGGCGGTTGGTTGTAACAGGAACTAAAGGTGTCTGGATGTGATGATTATATATAATATATATATATATATATATAAACACACACACACACACACACACACACACACACACAATGTTTACTTACTGGATACTCTATACTGCCAAATATACTTAACCTTAACTGTTTTTCCCCAAGTATGGAGCAGCAGATTTATTTCAGGTCATGGGAAGAAAGCTCCAGCCAAAAAATAGAGCTGCAAGGAAGCAGGGTACACTTGTGTGGCATGGTTAAGCAAGTACAGACACAAAGATGAGTGGCTGTATGGAAAATCACATGAGCTAGGGAAGCCACGTATGCTGTGGGACTTTCATCCCTTATTTAGGATACTACAGCACCCAGTCTGTAGTGAGAATTATCTTTTTATCTCTTCTTCCATGTCGATGCATCCATATTTTTTAAAAGGGGCAATTAAATCATCTTGTAAGCAGTTAAGGGTTTTTAAAAAGTTTAAATTCCTGTCTGGATCTGAGAAAGCAGAGCTGCTGCCTTTGCTGGAAATGGTGTTTCTTACTGGTATTTCTTATGAACAGATTCACCCATGTGTGAACAGTGTGCTGTTTTAAAAATATTAGGCACACTATATCCATGTACACCTATATTCATACACAACTTATTCTTTCTCGGTCCTGTAGTGCTTTTCTTTGCCCCAACAATTTCTCTTCTTTGGCCTCCCTGAAGCCAGCAAAAAAGAACCTCAGGGGAAAAAAACCCCAGACACATATCTGATATTCAAAATAATAAATAAATTTCTGTCATTCTTGAATAGATAAAGATCTTTATCATTCCCACAGGCAGTCAAAGAATACTTCCAGCATAAATATTATTGAGAATTTTCTCCTGGTGCTTCTTCTCCACTTCTGGTCTTAAGAGTAACAAATGGCTGTGGGGTGGTATATGAGTAACTGAACCATATTTCAGCACTGCTGATACATCAAACATAGGTGACGTAGCACATATATCACAGTGTTAGGAAGCATAAAGCCACTCCAGAATAATTCCTGATAAGGCTGAGAATCATCCTGCTATTTAGCAACTGCTCTGCAAACACAAGAAGGGAAGCCTTGCTCACTAAAATGCAGGGTATGAGACAAGCAAAGCTCTGAATGCCTCAGCCTGTGAAACACTCATCTGCTGTCTTCATCTGCCTTTGCAGGGAGCACGTCTAAATGCCTATCCTTAAAGGGAAGTCACTATTTTAAGGGAGTCACTATTTTACTCTGGGAGCAGAACCATGAGAATTTCTACCAACAACATTCATCATAACATAAAAACCTCAGGGATAAGGTTCAGGTGCAAAAAGGGGGTGGGGAGAACTTTGTATATAAAGTGAATTTCCTTTTGCACCAGATGGCAGATAGGAAGGCTGTGAGCTTCACTGTTCTGAATGTGAACTAAGCCTACCCTTTTGAACTCTGCCACTGTCCCCAGCTCCTTCAGAAGCAAAGGATCAAAAGTAAATAGTATCTTTTTCTGCTGATCACACCACCAAAGCAGTTTTCAGATTCGAGGGTTTATGCATTAGTTTCTTTGAATGCCTTTAAAAGCAACATGGTATCTGCCCAGAAGAGAGCAGCATTGATACCCTGGGAAGGACAACCAAGGTATTCTCTCTTGCCAGTGGGCTGGCTCATATTATCAAACAAAATATGGGGATCCAATAATTGTGCTGAAATTTAGGAATTATTTCTATTAATCAATTAATAATCTAAGCATTGCTAATGGGAGTTTTTGTGTGTAACAGGCATAAATCTGAGTCAGCCACACAGTTGTATTTGCATTAGCACAACAGAAACTGTTCATAACATTTGAGGCTTTAATAAAAGGACACTATCTTATAGACAAGGCGACCCTTGATGCACAGCAGATGTACTTTAATTAATCACAGAAACAATCTGCTGTTTGCAGGGAACTTTTGATGCCTCCATTTTAAAGGCACCAAAGAGCCTGATCTGTTGACAGATGAAGTATAACTCTGTTACCTAAAAAAGCCTGTGCCTTCAGGATTTAGAAGAGAAGAGGATATTCTGCTTAACTGAGGCTTCCTTTTCTTCACACCTCTGCCAAGGATTTTCTGTGCGAGCGTGGCCATGTCGCAGGGCAGAGCTGTTTGCTGAGCGTGCCCTGCCTACGCTCCGCCAAGGCAACGCTGGCAGCGCGTCAATCCCGGCTTGGCACGGCCCCGGCCGGCTCTCGGGGCTGGGCTGCAATCCCGCTCCGGTTCTGCCGGTGCCCCGGCCAGCCCCTGGGGCCGCAGGGCAACCGGAGCAGCGCCACCCTCCCCTCCCGCAGGAGCAGCCCCATGCCCGCTGGAGCACAGAACTCCCTCCTGCCCTCCCGCACAAAAAAGGTAATAATTACGTTTTGCTGAACAATCACAAATTTTCACAGCGCTGCAGTGTCAGTTAAACAAACACAAACCTCTCTATTTTCTTTCTCTTGCCATTGGAGCCGAACTACTTTTACATTTCTGTGTGGGTGATCGCCTGAGATCCCGCAGAGGGAAGGTAGCTTTCCTGAAGAGTGTGCTGGAGCAACTGTTGATCTCCCTTGTGAAATCCCATCTGTTGTCTGCACCAACTCTTGCTTGCTGGCTGAACAAGATAATGTTTCCCCAGCAGTAGCTGTAATTTTCCAAGCACTTTGCTGAGTGCAGAGTCAGAACTTTATTCAAAAAAGGACAAGCAGGGATATAATTTTGCTCTCTCCCTTCTGTTTTGCGGTGTGTTATGAATGAAACTACTGACAGTCAGTAAGGCTGAGTCCTTGTGGGCTTCGGCCTTTGTTCAAGACCTCTAAAGATGAAGAACAGTGTGCTAATTTTAGAGGTGGATTCTGGAAACAGGGAAGCCAATTTTTTTAAAATAGAATTTTGTGTATTATTACACGACATGTTTAACAACTTGCCATTTATTATTTTAAAAATATCTAAATGAATGTTAGTTTACGGTGGAAACTAATCAGCAGAAGCTGAAGTTGGGAATATTTCAGTGTATTAGAAAAACGTTCTTCACCCAGAGGATGGCTGGACACTGGAACAGGCTGCCCGGGGAAGTGGTCTCAGCACCAAGCCTGACAGTGCTCCAGATGCATTTGGACAATGCTCTCAGGCTCATGGTGCGGCTCTAGGGGTGTCCTCTGCAGGGCGAGGACTTGGGTTTGATGATAATTGTGGCTCCATTTCAACTCAGAATATTCTGTGATTATGACTGCAATGAATAATTTGAGAAAATTAAAGAAGATTGTGATGATTTGGGGAAAAAAATTCCCAAACCAACCACGTGAACTTAAATAATAACACAACCACCTTTTCTTCCTGGTTATGGGGAAATTCCTTGGGTTTGAAGAGCTGTACCTGAAACCACTCTCTCCTCGTACTAGTGAGATATTTTCCTCGTGCTAAAACATTTGAATTTATTTTTTCCCCCCAAGATATGATCAAACTGTGAAGTGCACAAATATAAGCCGGGATCACCCTCAGACCCGCGTCTCCCAGTCGAGCTGGCCGGGCAGGGAAGGCGGCTC